ATATAACAATCTGTATAGACCGTTCAGCACATGATGGGTGATGTCTGCTTCTTCTGCGTTCATCAATGAAAGGGCGGATGGCGTGTTATGTTGTAGTTTGCAATATATTTATAAAACAACAGGAAATATTTGCGGAAAGAGAGATCGTGGAAGACAATGGAAGAAGATTCATAAGTTTTTTGTTCTGACATGGAAAGGCCTCAGGATCTAAAGTGATACGTACTGTTGGAGATTGAGATTGTCGACAATCAGGATCGCCTATGGCCACCAAAGAAGCACTCGATTACACCCACGTACACGCCCACACTCACACGCGCCTGCTTACTTAGTCGATCCTCTTCTATGCTATGGTGTAAAGGTTTACAAGAGAGATCGCTAGACTTCTCTGTTTTTGACATTGTTCTATTCCAGTCATCTGACAGTCAGGAAATGTCGGGCTTGCCTTCACCGCCAACCCTGGGTTGCCCTGGTGGCCTGGTTCCCTGGTTCTTGGCCTCCCATGCTAACCAAGGTGGCCGTTAACTGCCCCCTGAGCACGCCGTAGAAAGTGACAAATTAGGAGTGTGCTGAAATCGGATGTGTTCATTTATCGAAAGGTTCTATTTAAAAATATAGGTCTAGCCCTATGTGCCCTATACGCTTAAAGGCGTGGAAAAGGGACCTTTACTTTTACTTTTTTATGATCTATTAAATAAAAATAGATTGTTAAGTTTAAAGCAAATTTTATTGTGCTTTTTGAATAAATATTATTCCATGATTAGGTTCTGTGGCCCTATTGTAGAAAAAACTAATATACAACTACTGCCACCGCAACAAGCATGTCGCAGGAGTCGACTAATTGGAGTAAATCTGCTTGAGAGACAAGGGACCAAGAGTCTATATACAGATAAGCTTGATCTGAGAAACGGATGTGCACGCAACATTCAGAGTCTGGAACAGGACTAAATTCTGATGGTGGACGAGCACCAAGAACTTTCTGACGTAGTTTACAGGGGTTGAACGCGAAGAAGAAGGAGGAGGAGGAGGAGGGGAGAAGAAGAAGAAGAAGGAAGAGGAGGAATTGGAGGAGGGGAATGAGGAGGAGAAGAAGAAGAAGAAGAAGAAGAAGAAGAAGAAGAAGAAGAAGAAGAAGAAGAATTGTAATCATATTGTGTAATCTGTCTTTGAGAACAATTGAAGTAATGAAAGGTACCGTTCTTCTGTCTTGAGACATTTAATCTGTTTAATCCTTTCCTGCAGTTCTCTAGAGCTATCTATCCCCAGCATGTTTACATTATCGATCGATCGATTTGATCGCTCAGGACTGTTAGCTAAAGATGTACCATACTGTCCTGAGACTACAACATCTCAGACTTTACGGCAGATCACTAAGGTAGATTCCCAGATAGCCCATTCAACCTCCTACAAAGTTATAAGTAATGCACACGCAAGGGTTACACCAGTCAGATATAACACGTGGTTGTAAACAGGCGAAGACGTAGGTAGATAGAAAGGTGTTTTGCTGAATAAACAAAAACACAAAACATGTCACGTTCAACCAGCATTCTCTTTATGTTATAATTGTGCCTAGGTTAAAACGGCTTAGCAGTGCACGTCACCAAGAACCAAATAAAAGGTCTCCAGCAGTGTTAATCTGATCAAAGGAGGCAGACCCAATTAAGTACTGACCAGAAACGAAGTCATCTACCGGCGAGCCAATTGGCAACCCGATCACCGATGAATGCAGGTGAGGACGTGTTATTGCCTCACTCGTATCGCCTCCCCCTCCTGTTACCTCAACGTGTGTTCTCGGAGTAGTGTCCCTTCTGTTTAACCCCGCACGTTGCCATTGTTTATCTGGTGTGGTGGAGGTTGTGAGTTACATCACCACCTCCTGCACTATCTAGTTACTTCGTGTCAGTGAAACAGTTTAATCGTTGCATTATAACACTTTGCAAAACAAAACAGTGTCTTGAAATTAAAAAGGGGCACAGTTTATTCAAGTGAATTGTGGACAAATAACAAATAATAGTAATATATTAATATAACAACGCATGTAAGTTTAAAGTAGTTATCGTGTTGTATTTAAAATAACATGTTGACTAAAGTTTAAAACTTAAGTTGCTTAACTGTTTTTTTTTTTAGTTTACGCATTAGAAGAGCGTAACTGAAGCCGTACCTTGACTGTTGCCAGGGGCCCTAATATAACCTGACGGGTTAAGTGGAGTTTCCGGGACCCCTACACTGGTGGTCCTCATCCGCATAGTGGCACTTTGTGTCACCGGGTGTTTTAATCGCTGTGTGATGCCCTGGTGGGTTTAAAATTTACTTACTTTAGTTTACCCAGTTTTTCATTATTATTTAACATTTAAAGCCTCACCCCGGCTGTCGACAGGGACCCTAATATAACCCAACGGTTGAACGGGGTTTATACATATTATAGGACTTGTGCACGGGTGATTCTATCCGAGTGAGGCTATAGTGGCACTCTGTCACCGGTCCTGGGCTGCTGGGTTTGAACCTCACTTACTCTTTCTTCAGTACTAGTGATGTAGGACTGTAGGGTAGAGCAGGGTATTGTGAACTTAAGAGCTTAGGATTACAAAGGGAGGATCCACATTTCAAGTATTTTAATATTTGATTCAAGAGACATACTGAGTGATTACATTGTCATTAACAATAACGTGTGCTAGCTTCATTGAAAAAAATGAATATATTAAGTTTGTTCAACATCTCATAAACACACTTGCAAGCTATTTTCTCGAAAACTGTCTTTTAGATCACAACAGTATGAGAAATTAAACAGACTTCAAAGTCACCCACTACATTTTAAATTTCAAGAGGGAACCAAAAAAATATTGAATGCTTCAGAGCCCCAACCACCTTGCTAGAGAACTGTTCAGACAGCACCAAGATCTGCTTGAAAGAGATGTTGCACTGGTTGAAAAGCTTATACCTAAACCTTGGACAAGCAAGCCAGGGAAGGCAAATGTAGTCCTAAAGGTACCAAGGATCACTTCAAAAAGATGTCCAGATGGAGATATAACAGAGAACCCTGGCTCTTGGTATATGCTTGATGAGAAGTATCCCAACACCACTTGGACTCAGGTTTTCACTCACGGCTCTGCTACAGATGCAGTCAGAAAAGGGGAGAGGGGGCGCTTTGTAATTTAAACATTAAACACCCTAACAGTAGAGCAGAAACTCTCTCTCTCTCTACCAGCAGGTGACATATGCACTAACTACAGAGCTGAGGCAACCACCTCCTTTCTGCAGTCTAGCACCTCATCACTAAAGAACACAGAGGGCACAAAATTGTTATACTTAGTGACTCACTGTCTGTTCTCCAAGCACTGTCCAGCAAAAAACAAAGCAAACTAATTGCAGATCTAAGGACCAATATTGGCTTACTTTCTAAGGAAACAGAAGTGGTCTTGCAGTGGAGACCAGCTCACTGTGGTATGCAAGGAAATGAGAGAGCAGATGAGTTGGCAAAAGCTCAGAGTAATCTTCCACAACCTCATCCACCACACAGCTTCACAGAAACCAAAACAGTGCTAAAGCAGTCTTTCAAGCGAGAGTAGAGAAGGCAGAATGGAGATTACAGACCAGAGAGTGACAGCATACACAAAATCAACAGGAAAGAACAAACATCAATTTTTAACTTTCAGACAGGAAACTGTGGTCTTCGAGCACACCTGCACAGGATAGGCATAAAAGAATCTGCTGCCTGTGATTGTGGAGCAGAAAGACAGACCACTGAGCACGTACTGCAGTACTGCCCTTACCTCTCCCAGCAAAGACTGTGGATCTGGCCCAAGGGAGCTACATTGCAAGAGAAGCTATGGGGGACTTGTGGCGATCTCAAACACCCAATCCTATTTGTGACGCAGATAGGACTCAATGTTTACCGTGACTGATGTCGAACGCAGAAGAAGAAGAAAAAGATCACAACAATTTTTTGCTTGTAGCCTTAGAATATCAATGATGCCAAAGTTGTGGTATTGTTTTGTCTATAGATGCCCAGGATGCTGAATACCAGCCAATTCCTCTGATCTTTTCGAACCATTGTAAATAAGTATAGTGAACTTTTAGATTTTACAGTAAAAATCGGAATTTACTATTCCATTTTTTTGTCAAAGCCGTGACTTCTTAATACATTAATAGGTGAAGTAAATTTATTTGTTGTGATTTATGTTTAACTGAGTTGAGTTGAGCTGAGTCAAGAAAGACATCACAGCACTCGGGGCATTCCCACATGCGCTCCGTCCCCATCTTCAGCAGCCAGCACAGAGTTCTAGTACTAATGGTACCAGACGGAGTCTGATTATATGTCCATATTGCCATTCCTCTGAGTGTAGTATGCCGACCAGGCCCTCTGGTCACACCCAGGTGTTTCATTCTCTCCAGGCCGTGTTTATCTGTTTTCTCTTCTGTCTTTACTACTTGTTCCCAAAGGGCCTTGACCACATCTGCCTTGTCATGTATCAACTCACCCAGTGGTACAGATCCATACAATCTGACTGTCTTGTCAGTTGTAAACATGTCCCCAATATGCAACAGTTAGTATTCCCCTTCAGTCACCATTAGACCCCAGGGTGTATCTAACTGCACAGCAAATTGTATTATGGTTGACACATTTGGATATGAAGATGTATTTGTTACTATTGTAGATTTTCCTAACGGATTGATATTTAACCACTCATCGCATTTCTATCAGCCAAATTTGTGTCATTTATCTAATGAAAGAATCACGACTGTAGATCAGGGCAGATCAGGGCTACTCCATTAAGTTAATTCAGAGGCCAAAATTGTAAAAATGTGGATCGTCACCTGCCAGAGGTCTAAGCCCCAGCATAGAAAGATCATCAACAAATACAACTGGCAGTAATCTGTGGGCCATTTGCTTGGCCTCCACAGGCCAGATTAGACCTGTTGGCCACCAGTTAAATATCCCTGCTTAAGATCAGTGTCACAAAGTTATAACATGATTCATTTTCCTATGTTTCAGATACATTAAAATGGAAAAGTCTTGCCAGATTACAGACGTTGACCAACTTCAGTTGAAACTCTTTTCAAAATATAAATTTCAGTTATTTGCATTTATATGTTTAGGAATCACATATGCACGGGGCGCCTGGAATGTGTTTGGTGTTTTATTTTTGGCTGCTGACAGCGGCCATAGCTGCGATCCTCATGTAGAAGGTATTATACAGTTTTCCAGCCAGGAGGTAGCATCTCCTTACAGTTCCAGCCAAAATTTTACTCTAGGTAATACATCATCTTCAGGGGAATATGTTGGAGTGCAGAAAGGTGTTATATTCAAAGAGTGTGACATTTTAGTTTTCTATGAAAATGGCACAAATGCTTCAAGACCATGTAATTATGGATGGGTCTATGACAGTGAGTTCAAGTCAACTATTGTATCTGAGGTAAGTCGTAATTTTTAACTCGGGTATTGTTTTGTTATTGTATGTTATAGTTGTCGGCTCTGTGGCTAAGTCGATGCAAATGCTTTGTAATGCCGGGTTCGATTCCAGCTGCGGGCCACGCGCCTTGCGTTGGTTTCGACAGTGGTATTAAGAAAGCCGACCGTCCAGAAAGCAATGGCAAACTACTGGACGTAAACTTGCCTAGAGAAACCACACAACAGCCAGGGGCTGATAGGGTTGGTTCTGCAACGTCCTGTAAAGGATACGCAACTAACCTTATGTTATAGTTAACTTGTAATCGCAGCTTAGTTGTTTTGTTATCTCCAGCAGATTATTACATGTATAATATTTTGATCACATGTTGTCTACTTCAGGTGATACGTTACATACAAACAGTTTTGTGTGTGTTGTTTATGCTTTTTATGTTTATGGAAATCAGAACTGTGGAAGGTTCTCAGTTGATCTTCGGGCAGTGCATCAGAATATCCAGTGTGGATTCCAGGGCCCCATTATAGAGAGAAAAAAAAAAAATATACCCACTACCTCCCCAACAAGCATGTCATAGGAGTCGACTAATTTGGGGCATCTGCCTGAGAGGCAAGGAACCAAGAGTCTGCATACAGAATACACCAGATTTGTGTATGCAACACTCAGATTCTGGAACAAGACTACACATTCAGGTTTGGGAACAAGACTTATTAAGTGCAGAGGTGGATGAACATCCAGAACTTTCTGCCAGAGTTTACAGCTGGTGAATGTGAAGATGAAGAAGAAGAAGAAGAACACATTGATAATTAAATCAGAAAAGAGGTCACACATTTGAAGACCTGTGTCCATGTTGTGCATTTAAAATTCATTTAGTAGTTGGAAAGAGTGGGCCTAAAAAAAGGCCATATAGGTCGCTGTTCAAACTCTTTTCCTTCAGTATTTTAAGTCCTTGAGGTTTGTTGCTGCAGATATCATCCACCTTTATTCATCTTTGTGAATGACCCTCTTTTTCCAGCTGACGACTACAGATCTGCCTATATATTATCTCTTCACCGTCTTCTTGGTTTGCCTCGTAGTCTACGGCCATTACACAGTCTAGTAAAATAAAGCTATGGTTGGCAGCAGTGACTTAAAAGCTGAGGGAGTTTTTAACTACACACAAGAACCTATGGGGAACCAGACCTCCAGGGTTTGCTAGGAAGACGTCTGACAGAGGAATGGAAAGGAACAAAGCCAATAAATCTAACTGGTGATTGAATTGAGAAGACTCAGTTTCTGTGGCAAATACCCTTGAGGGTAGAAGAGGATTGACTGAGTGAAGAACCTTTGGGACTTTGGAAGTTTAAAAAAAAAAAAGTTAGTCCAACCTACATTTTTTTGAAAATAATACCATGGAAATCCTCATGTTTACCGTAGTTTGATAACTTCGTTCAACAGTGGGACCTGGTGTGTGTTCGGGCTTACTTGGCTGAGCTGTCAACAACCCTGTACATGGCTGGTTCCATGATAGGTGCCTTGCTGATCACACCAATGGCAGACAAGTTTGGCCGCCGGTTAGTTCTTTTAACATGTCTAGTGTCACAGGCTGTACTGGGAGCTTGTGTTTCATGGTCTCCAAGCTATATAGTGTTTACTGCCTTGAGGTTTATCGTGGGATTTTTTAATATGGTAAGTTGTTTTCTTGTTGAGGATTATTACTTTTAGTAGTACTGTATTGATACCTGTTTTTTAGTTATTCAATTTGTGCCATATGTTTTAAATTTTGAATTATTAAAACAGAATAGTATTCTTAGTAGAAACAAATACTTCAGAGCTCAGTAGAGGAGAAGAGGCAGACCAAGAAATACCTGGTCACAGAACTTATGAACTGGACAAACCTTAGGCATGCAACAATGAAGTCTATTGCATCAAACCGTCAAAGGTGGACAGAGCTGAAACAGAAACTGGTGACCCGACAATGTGCAGTGTTACTAGACGATGATGATGAATAGAAACCATCAGAAATTGTGATTTGAAAATTAAAGAAATTTTGTATTAGCTTGCATGGTCGACCTCAAGATCTGCTTCCATTGTATCTTAAGTGATAAGGCTTTCTGTGGTGTACTAACTGATGGTAGTCTTGATACAGCTGAAACCATTTTACCTTTTGTCTCTTGATGTAGTTTAGTACTGGTTTACTAATGTCCATCTCATGTATTCTCAGTGTGTTTCCAGTATTCTTTATTCACCTTTATTGGTTGCTCTTACAGAAACCATCCCCTAAATTACTGTTGTGTCATGATATTATGTACCAGTTTTGATTTTCAGGTCTTCTAGAATGTTAAGTTTTTTTTTTTTAATTCTGTGGTAATATAAGAACTTTAACATTTAAGTTTTAAAGTCCACATTGTCTTTCGTACTAACTGAAATGGTCCATGACTCACATTAACATGTTGCCAAAGGAAAAGGTGCATGTTCTCATTGTTACTGAAGTTGATGTAGTATTTAGTGCTGATTTAATTGTCTATTGATGCTGTGTAACCTTTGTAGTACTCTGACCAGTCTGTCTCTGACTTCTATTGAATAGCTTTCATTCATGTAAAACAACCCTGTTGAGTTTTACATTATGTGACTAAACTGATATTTGATTGCACAGGGCATTGCATTGAGCACATACGTAATGATGACAGAAATATTCCCTGCACAGCATCGGACAATACCCTGCTGCGGTTTCCAGATCTTCTGGGCATTCGGTATAATGCTGACCGCCTTGTTTGGTTTCTTGGTCAGAGACTGGCGGCACCTGCAGCTTATCTTCTCTCTGCCCAACCTGCTGTGTGCTGCACTTATTTGGTAAAGAATGATGTTTGCAGTCTTTTGTTTCCTATGTAATTAAGTGCGTTTACATGTTTGTGATAAGTTTGTCATCATTAAGATTTACTTTCTTGAGGACATCCTCTGTGGTAAATTACAGATAGAAGATGTGGTCAGCCTCTATTATGAAATAACTATGTTTGCAAGCAGGACACGAATGATACAAGTATTGGGATGGAATCATAGGAACAGGATGATATAGACCATGTTGCATGGCGGGGGATAATAAGGAAGGGAATAGGGAAACGAGAAAAAGATTTCAAATAGGGAAAAAGCTGAGTGCAAAGAAAAATGTTGAGTGCTTGCGAAGCCCTGAAATCCCTTACTCTAATTGTGAAGGACTTTTCTTGACATGAGCGGGCCTTGTCACACTCACCGCTACCATGGACCTGTGATTCCTATGCCTCCCAGTAGCTCAGTACAGTACAAACATTTGAAATACAGAAAGGTGCCACCAGAAACACAAAACAAAAGCAACCAGGAAACTCGTCAAGAGGAAACACACAGACAGCCAGCAATTTTATGGAAAATCTTTTTCCGTGCACGAAACAAGAATACTTTGCTGTAGATACTAACTGCGTGTGTTTACCACTTTTAGGGAGTTGTAGGATATAGGTTGAGGGGATCTTGATCTAGAGAATTTAAAAACAACATGGCTGGTGCACACGCCATGAACTGAGCAGGTTAGATTTTTATTTTTGCCCCAGACAAAAAAATTGTTATCCTTTACCGAGCATTGAACCTGGATCCTGCATGAGAGTTCACCAGACCAGCTACTTTTCTTATACATAAGCTTTCTGGCTTGGAGTTTAGTGAATGCATTTAACAGGTTCATAATCCTAGATTACTAGGGTCTGATTTCAACAGTATTCTCGAGGACAGCAGTAGGTGCACTGTGACCAAGCTTCATTCTGGAAACATCAAAATGTTTGTTTTATACATGTTGATGTGAATTGTGTATTAATGCACCTTATAGGATACAGCAAACTATACCAGAAAATAAATTGAACAAAATATTGTTTGTGTCCCCATTATTTAAATATTAACTTTTTAAAGAGGCATATTACGAGTCTGTAATGGACTCAGTTATAAGCATATGACTGTATTTTTTAAAATAAACTTGACTGCGCATCAGTGGACATTTGGACATCATTGTTGATCTGGACAGAAAAGGGGTGAGAAATATGGGTGTATAAATACAGTAAGTTTAGTATCTGACAGCCTAGTTTAATTTCTTATGTTATGCCAGTTTGTTCTTCAGCCATTAAAAATCAATGTCAGCCTTACCAGATGCTTCCTAATTATTTCATGGTTTGTTCCCTATGGGGGACAGGTTTGCTGCCACTATTTAGTTGGTGTTTTGTTTGTCAACTCTGTCGCTGGGGCCCGAAAAGGGTCTCTGATAGAGTCTATTGGTGAGATGTTTGTAAGATATCAGTTTAAACATTGATTACAGTTTTTGTATCTGACATCTCCAGGTTTCTGCCAGAATCGCTTCCATGGCTGATCTCACAGAATAAACTAAAGAAAGCGCAGGCTGTTGTAGAAAGCATAGCAAAGTTTAATGGGATAGACATACCTACCAATCTGCCAAAACCAGAATCTCAGTCCCCAAATGAGCAAAACTATGAACCCCAGAACAAATGTAATAACACACAAGAATGGGCAGAGCAGCCACTCCTTTCAGGTACACTGTCTCACCACGAGGCAGTACTCCTATTGGCTGAATTCACGACCCCTTCGGAGCTTCGCACTATACCTGCTGGTGATGGAGTCTACAGTAAGCATGTACAACATAATGGACTACACTGTAGTGACTTGGGTGATCCAACTTCATACACACCCAGATCTGGTAATACTCCTGTAAATACAGAAGTCCAAATCACCATCCAAAAGGATTCTGGCTTGACAAACAATACAGTGGATGAGAATGATGCTCTTCCTGTCAGCAGTGTGTTTGTGCTGTGCTATAGTTCAAGAATGTGCCTTTACTCTGTGATCATTTTTTATTTATAGTAAGTAAACCTTTTTTGTGTGTTCAGTTGAAGCAAATGTTGGTTGTTTAACAATTCTTATCCTGCCTCTTCTTCTTTGTTTTCTTCATGTTTTTCTTCTTTTTCTTTGTGTTCTTCTTTTCCTTCTTCTCCTCCTCCTTCTCATCCTCCTTTTTCTTTCTCTTTTTGTTGTTCTTCTTCCTCTTCTTTTTTCTCCCTCCTACTCCTTCCTCTTCTATTTCTTCTTGTTCTTCTTCTTCTTCTTCCTCCTCTTCTTTTTTCTTTCTTCTCCTCCCTCTTCTCCTTCTTCTTCTTTCTCTTCTGGTGAACTGGAAAATAGCTTATTATGTGCACCCTTTTGTCAAATGACACAGTTAAAAATAAAAACAATTGGTAACTACCATTCTCACATTTTTGACACACTAAACTTATACTTGACATTTCTTTTGTTTGGTTGATTAATCGGCACTTAGTATGTTGGGTTAAGAATCATCACAGAACTCTGGACATTTCCATAAGTGCTTCATCCTCATCTATAGCAGCAAGTGCAGAGTTCCAGTTCCAGTGGCATCAGTAACAGTCTGACTGTATATCCGTCTCACCTTTCCCTTGAGTGTTGAGCACCAGCCACATTACCTGGTCTACCTCGATGCACAATTCTCCTCAGATCAATCTGTTTGTGCCTCAGACTGTTCACTTGATCCTAAAGGACCCCTACAACATCTAGCTTGTCATGCATCAGTTCACCATCGAGTTGTGCATAACCAGCCAATCTATCTACCTGTTCATTTCTCAACACACTAACATTACCCGGAGAAATGATCCAAAGGAGCTAACTGCCCTGGGCCTCTGAAGCCTAATGTATGATGCAGTCAAGATTATGCTGGGTGCCGAAATTTCCTGGTAGTCTTTAAGGCTGGGTTTATGTAATAGCTGAAGGTCATTTGTAATAATCTGCTTTGTTGTGGATCCAAACCCAAGATTTTTTGGGTCACCTTGCTAGCATTTAATCACTGCTATTGCAGTCCTAAAAGTAGTCACTCCTAAAGCAAATATTGTCATTTGTATGGTAAGTCTTACACTTTCCCATGCTAGTAAGCATTAATCACTGGAAAATAGCCCACTTCATGGGAAATGGAGTCAGCAGTATCAGGTCTGCCAAAAAAAAACCCAATGGAGATATAAAACATATTCTCTTCCCCCCCCCAACCCCCAACGTCTGTGTCCTCCAGGGTATTTCCATTGCTCCATTTTGGACAACAACTGAAGAGACCTAGCCCTCTATCAAGCATGTCATAGGATGTGACTAATTAGAGATGTTTCCTTCAAAGTTGGGCTCTATTTTGAAGAACAACTGAAGAGACCCACTAGCCGTCTATCAAGCATGTCATAGGATGTGACTAATTAGAGATGTTTCCTTCAAAGTCGTGCTCTATTTTGAAGAACAACTAAAAAGACCCACTGGCCGTCTAACAAGCATGTCATAGGATGTGACTAATTTGGGATGTTTCCTTCAAAGTCAGTGTGTATCTGCCTGAAGAGCGAGGAACCAACATGCTTCAAATAAGCAAGATCTGTAAAACGCATGTGTGCACGGAGGTAAAGTTCTGGATCAAGAGTTTATAGCCAGTCAACACTAAGAAGAAGAAGAAGAAGAAAATATTTTTCTGAATAGAAAACAAAGACCAGCTACAAGATGCTGAAATGCTACATGATGCTGATCCACAAAACTGAAGTAAATTAAGTTGTTTATGAACTGACAAATTTTCAAGAATTCGTTAAAAGAAACAGTTTCTTTCCAATCCATCATCAACAGCATGTCCTTTACAGAATGTTGCTCTCTTCACAAGCACGCCTGAAATTCTCTGTCTCTAGGCTTTTCTCCAGCCCTGTGTGCTGTCATAACCAGTGCATCTTCTGTGTCCTGTCCATTTAGAGTTTCTATGGATGTATTTCTTCTTCTTGTTCACCGGCTGTGAATTCCGGCGGTAAGTCGCGGTTGTTCGTCCAAAATGGACTTTTGGCTTTTACCTTGACCTGAGTTTTGCGTGTACATACGTTTTACTGGCTTATTTGTTCGCAGTTCTCGTTCCCCGCCTCTCCGGCAGATGTACTCCGACTTCGGAGGAAGACATCAAGCCTATTTCTAGGTTGACTGTGGCCATTGTTTTGTGTGGGTCAAGATGTTGCCTCATTTGTGTGGTGTCCTCTTTGACCTTAACAGGTTTGGCCCCCGAAATGTCGTCCTTAAGGCAGCCCTATGTAGAATTGTCAGCCCTCAAGGGAAGGCAGGGGCAGATCATGGGCATTCCCCGCCATCCAAGGAGGCTTCCATAAATGCAGAGCCGACACATGATGCTCTGGTTCTGGGCTCACCCAAGGATTCGTCACGTCCTGCCCATGACTGCTTAACCTCACAACCGTGTATTGAGCTTCCCGCGCTACAAGGCTGCGCTCTCCGGAGATCAGCGGGGAGCAGCCCGCAGGTCCAGGACGTTTGTGGCCACACAAATAGGTACATTATTTTTCATCTTACGTTAGACACCTTTAACGTTGTTTCAACTGTGCCCTTAGCACGACAGAATAGGGAAGCAAAATGCGTCAGGCGTGGCTTCACCTGTTTGGTCCCAACACTCGGGCGAGTTGGACCAGTGGATACGGACATTCAGACTTTTCCTAACCGGTACGAATTATGATCGTCGGACTTTGAGCTTGCATGTGTGCCGTGGGGTGTAACTTTGTCGGACATTGTTTTCAAGCCAGCATATGAATAGTTGCTGCCGTGGTGTACCTCAGCGCGGTGACGACGACACTGAGGATTGACAGAGGATGTACGTGGGTAGGATCTTGCTGCGAGAAGTCGCCCACAAGAGATGTTACTCGTCTTGGCTGCGGGTAAATCTCTCGGTCAGGATTGAGTCTCAGCAGCACAGTTTTCCATTCGCTCCCGAATTTTAACCAAGAGTTGTCATTTGATGGTACATTTAGCAAGCAATCCTTGAGTTTTGTTACTTTTCACCCATGCGTTTGGGGGCGGGCTGGTGAGAGCCAGAAAGGACACTACACCTCTAAGCTCCGACATCCCCTGCCAACTCTGTTAATACTCATTTGAGACATTATCCGTGGCGCACGACGGGGACGTGCAGCAGGAGTCTTGCATGAGGCTCCGTAAAACCAGAACAGTGAAGGACTGGCGCCCGAGAGGGGTACGGAGTATCTCCTTATACACCTCACATCAGACTTAACTTTGCCTCATGCCTGTGACCGAAATCACCGCGCCACTATGGATGTATAATCTGGCAGTCTTCCCTTGCTTTCCACATCCACATGGCTGAGCATCCCTACCTTTGGCAATCTTTTAGATTGCCACTGTGAGTACCCTGCTCTGTGAGGCTATTGCTAACAGCAGATATCACCACAGAGGTCTCCGCTTATCCTGACAGATACTTTGTCCCCCCCCCCCCCCCCTCCCGACTGCATTAGTAGTTAGTAAAATAATGACTGAATATGCCAAGTAATGTTACCTTTCATGTAGCATCATTGCTTCACTTTAACCAAAAGCATGTTACAAAATTACTTTGTAAAATAACTGACAACACTTATGGAACTTTTGGATTATTTTCAGTTTTGCAAACAGCCTCAGCTACTTTGGCATTTCTTTGAGCACACCTGTGTTGCATGGCAACCAGTTTTTGAATCTCTTCCTGCTGGGCATGGTGGAAGTACCAGCTTACATCCTTTGCCTGCTTGTCTGTGATAGGTAAGACAAATGTGAACATATGTGAAACATTCATACATTTTTGTTTTACTGTTGTCATCTGACTGATAACACGTTGTAGCCTGGTGACCTGGTTTTATGTGCTTGTCTTGTGCTCCACTGTTGGTTTCGATGATGGATTTGTTTATATATTTTTGCAGGTTTCAGCTACACCATTTATCCCTCTCTTTCTTGGTCTTGTCCTTGCCTTCTTCACAGCCACATCTTCTGCTGTAAAAAAAAAATCTTAAATGCAGTTTGGTCTGGCTGCATTCTCACTCAATGTCTAAACAATTTCATTGTTTGTCTGTCAGTTTAATCCAGACATGGTCTTATTCCAACTTTCTCTCTAATGCTGGTATTCGTAACCCTGTCCTTTGTGTTGTTTGTGATAGAAAAGATAAGGACTGCTGCGGGATACAGCAATTTTCAACAAATACCACATGTTCTACTTTCTCCAGGACTTAAGTCTTGCCTGCTCATGTGTTTTACAGATCTGACTTTTTTTGTGTGCAGACTGTTCTTCCTAGCATTGGCTAATTGTTAACTCCATCAGAAAGTTCTGAAATTTGTGTTTTGTATGCACACTTATTTTACAGGTCTGGCCTATATGACTGCAGACTGTTGGTTCTGTGCCTGTCACTCAAATGCACTCTGACTTTGAAGGAATCATCCCTTATTAGTTGCCCCCTACTATATGCTTGTTGGGGAATGGGTTTAGGGGGGGGGGGGGGCAGTAGGTCTATTCTTTGTTGTCCAAAATGTAACCATGGAACCTGCATGGGTACATACACTCTTGGTTCTTTGCCCCAAGACAGATGCACTTTGACTGAGAAGGAAATGCCTATGTTGGCTCGGCCCCCAGTTGAGAATCTGCTTCTGTGATGACAGGGAAGAGTTGTAGATAGATTGTGACCTGTATGAGCCATGGCCATGCTATACCACCTGGACATGATGAGATTGTTCAGAGAAAAAAGAAACATAAATTTACATGCTGTATCTTGAGCGGCTGGCCAAGCAATTACAATAGTGGGCTGACATGTGGGAGACCAAGGTTCAACTCCCCTTAAGGCGATAGAAGTCTGGGTGGGGGGGGGGGGGGGGGGGGGGAATTAAATAATTAAATATCCTAACCTGCATAGACTGTGTCAACAGTACCAGCCATGCGGCCCTGAATCCTTAGGCCCACCCCCCAGTCTACACCGCCCTAAAAAAGCGATAAATACAGACAGGTATTCTTGATCTCCATAGCACACCTTAAAATGAAGGAAATATCTTGCTGTCCATAGCACCATATATGAGATAAGTAATATATCTCTTATCTTTTAGGTGTAATTAAAGTAAATATGTTCCAGTGACTTTATTACACATATGTAAAAGGTATAAAAACATATATGGTCCTGTCAAGCAAATGAACTGTAAGGAAACAATCAAGGGCCCAAGGTCAAAATCAGTTGCAAGATGCATTCAGGGATATATACTGCTGCTTGGGAAGATAGTGGATTCCATCTACAAAAAAAAAAAAAAAAAAGAAAGAAAAGGGACTTTGCTGTCCATTGAACCATATTGTTCTCAGGACGTCTGTTGCTGTAGCATCATTGTTGGTGGACTCAGTGCTCTCAAGAATATGGCAGGAGTGGATATGGAACAAAGAATGCTGTTCACAATGTTCCAGTATGTGATTCTATCAATGATAGATTATGGTCTTGGAATGCTTACCATATCAAAGAGTCAGCTGATGAAACGAACGCATTCAAAATGAAGTTGTGCTGGTAATTCTGGGATGTATAAGAGATACTCCGGTACTATGTATATGCTTGCACTGTCTACTATTGCAGATAGGCTCAAAGTTCTGCAGGCAAAGTCATATCTTAGAGTAGCTGCAGACAAGAAGCACCTTCTGCATGAAGCCCTTAGTAGAGCTAAGGGTCAAAGGCTGAAAGAGAAAGGTTTTTGATGGTGCAAGCTGAAGATACAATTATACACGTGTGCTTGATAAATCTTGGGGAGGAGAGGAGTGGGTCAAAGTGTCTGAGCAAGTTTCAGACTTGAGTAGGGTTCTTATCTTTTTTAGGTCCTGGGTGCAGGACTGGCCAGCTGGGGCTGAAGAACTGGAAGTTCAACAAATGATTCATGACAATTCCCACCCAGGTGATGTGATAATCTATACAGAGGGCTCTGTATTGAGGGTCAGACAAAGTGCATGGGGGTTCATTGCAAATGTGAATGGACGTCGCTTAGCACAACAAAGCCTGGCATCTGATATCACGTCGTCTAGTTTGAGAATAGAGGTGGTGGCAGTCACTGCTGCCTTCCGCTGGCTTGAGAATCAGCTGTACACACATGTCGTCATTGTGACTGACAGAGCATGTTGAGAAATGGGGAGACAGGCATTCTCCATGCAGAGTGGCAAGCATCACTTCAGAGGTCCTGGATAGTTAGCATTCTTTGGATATTTTCTCCAGGGCTTGTGGTATGTTGGGAATTTAACAGGTGCAGATTGACTGGTTCTTCACAACTTGGTGATAAATTGTTGCATGACAAGCTAGATGTTGTAAGGACCCTTTTGGAGCCAGTAAACAGTGTGATGGTACAAACAAATCATGGTCTGGAGAGAAAAGTGCAGTGAGATGTGACCAAGGGATCTGGCTGACGGTCTACACTCAGCCAGTTACTGGTAGCTGCAGAATTGGAACTCTGCTAAAGATGGGGGTCACAGTGCTTATGAGAATATCTAGCATGCTTTGATGTTGTCATAACTACTGTCTGGTCTCACCTTGTCACATAAGGGTACAAGAGACCAAGAGGAGATGAAATAACAATTAAAGGTCGGTAGTAGAGTGTTTAACTTTTCTTCAAACAGGTCATCCCATAATTGCTTTGTTCCTGTGCCAGTTAATGTCATACAGAATACCGTTTACTGTCCCACTTAGAAAACTACTGAACAAACTAATTACTCTGTCCCACTTAAAAAACTACTGAACAAACTAATTACTCACTGAAAAATCAGAAGTTGATACCTGCAGAAAATATGTACACAGTGAGATAGATGAGATAAAAGTCTCTTTAGATTCTTTGTTCCTGTGTGGGTTCCGGGGCCCTATTATAGGGGGGAAAAAGAAAAGACCCACTGCCTACCCAAAAGCATGCTGTAAAAGACTACTAATTAGGAGCTTCTTTCGAAGTCAGAGTGCATCTGCCTGAGAGGCAAGGAACCAGCAGTCTGCGTACAAATGAGTCAGATTTGTAAAACGGATGCACACGCAACACAGGTACTGGAACAGGGCTGTAGTCCAAAAGTGGATAAACTGCGAGAACTTTCCGTCTGGTGAATGCAAAGAAGAAGAAGATGATTCTTTGTTATGCTGTGCTTCTACCATTGAATGTCAAAGCATTTTTGGTAATGGACATGCTGGCCTAATTTGCTAGTATTTGTAAAATTTATTTTTTTCTGACTTGAAGTTGTCCGTTTGTAACATTCTTCATACAGATATTCATTATCTTATTCAGGTTTGGCCGTAAAATACCACTCTGCATTTTTCTGCTGATGTGTGGTGTGATGAACATTATTGCTGTGCTCATAACAGAGGATGCAAGTAAGTCATTTCATAATATAGATATGATCACGGACCCTATTTCACAAGAGGCATGTTGAGTACATGGTGCTAATTCCATGTTTTTATACTAATCAGCATTCACTGGGTGCTGTGATCAATATTATGTTGGCCACCTTTACTTTTTTGGGGAAAGGGGATGGGGTGCTCAAATTAAGCTTGTTTAACTGGGAAGTTTAGGTCAGTTTGAGAAGGCCTCGCCTCAAGAAACAAATGAACGAACACACTTTATTTTCAAAGGGTTGAGAATTGGGCACACAAGCCAGTTTTACATTCTGGCCTCACTCCATTCATACATTATTTATTCATACATGGTTTTAGTAGATAATAATATTCATATTAGACATCATCAAAGGAAGGAAATGCAAACACACTTGACTGGCAGGCAAGCGTGTTTGTCCTCACTAATGCTATTCCCAATATATATATATGTGTGTGTGTGTATGTATATATACTAGATTTCATTGCCTTGCTTTGGCCAGGTAGCTGAAAGACAGTTTTGTTCTCTCACCCTCTACCTTATCTTGGTCTCCTTCGCAGCCTTGCATGTGGTAGAAACTTCAAGGAGGAGCTAGCACAACACAAGCTTTTTGTCATCAAGTTTTTTTTGGATGCCCTCATTTCCTTAACCCGTCAGTGTCCCATTTCTGTGCATGTTTGGTGATTCTCTGTTCGTCACTTTTCAGAATTTTCTGTAGAAAACAAAAAACAAATTTGCAGGGAGTAGGAGTTGGCCTCTGAGTCGTAGCCTGAGGTGGAATTGTAGGAGCATCCTGCACCAGTTCTTCTGATACTTAGCGCTACCGCCAACTTAGCATTGATGTGTGTGTATCTATACTGTGAAGCGCAAATGCCTTCTTGTATATTATTATGTAAAGGATCATAGAGAAAAATTGCAGGAAAATAAACTGTTATTGTAAAATATTTAACAATGTACATTTGTGGCATCTCATATTGATAGGACATTTTTTAAAAATTGTGTGTGGCCCTGAGTCTTAAAACGGCATTGAGATGATAAGGAACATACAGGACCTTCGAGAGAGGGTTGCAGCAACAGTTGCAACTCTATCTCTAGACACAATTTAAAAGAAGCTGCAGGAGAATAAATACTGTCCGGACATTATCAGAGCTGCAAATGTTGCCCTTTTTTTTTTTTTTTTTTTTTTTTAAACGTATCCAGAAACCATGAGTTGTAAACCCTTTGGCTCGGTACTATGGATATCGCAACCCTTCGGCATTGATTTCATTATAGGTACCGTTAATCTGGTAGAAATGTGGCTTTTCTGCCTAACCCCGACCACAAGGAGTTCGTCACCCGGCCGCCGCGAAAGTCAGGTTTAACCAACTTCGCTAGAGAGCCGGGCAAATGTTGCCCATACTGAGGTGTATTGAGGTATGTCTAAAACTGAAACTTCTCTGAACATAACAACCTCGGCAACCATTCTTGATGACCCTGTGTACATCATATATTTACGTATAAATGTGTATATATATATATATAAAAATTTGTTATGTGTTTTAATGGGGCAGTTTAAACACAGCTGATCTCTCATATTTATGACTGGAATCCCATATCATCTTAGTGAGCTTTTGCATATTATTGTACATTTACAAATAAGTTGTTATCACCTTTAACCATAGCTAGGGAAATGGTGTAGTTATTCACTTAGGACAAGACGCACATGCAAAAAAGAGTTAATCAGCACACTATCACCCTTTCCTACAAAAAAATAGAGGAAATGTTGGGTGTATTTTGAAGACGTAGTGATTTTGGTAATAAATTAGAGAAGACATGCCTAGCTAACTTTTCCTTGTGGTATTTTGAAAGTTAGCATTTGTTCCTTTCAGCTTCCGGACTGAGTCACCTACGTATTGCATGTGTCATGGTTGGAAAATTTGCAATAACTGGTGGTTACACAACGGTTTACCTCTACTCAGCAGAAATCTTTCCAACATCTGTCAGGTATGGATAGATGCATACAATAGTGTTTTCCTAAACTGCATTATTTGTGATCGTTCCTTTCTGTTATTGTATATAATTTGACTTTTGTTTGCAGCAGGATTCTAATTTGTTAAACTATTCATGCATGCAAGCCCAGCAATCATTTTCAATTGAACATGAGAAGAAATGCTTCTTTAACTTTTGTGATTTCAAGAAATGCATCACAAGTTAGTTTATAACTGTTTTATTTGGTCTGTGGTATACTGAAAAAGTTTAGATACATCTGCCAGCCTAGAACAGCAGAATATGCCAAGGTTTTACTTAGTGTAGCTATCATGAGTGCCCTAATTTATTGGGGAGATTGAACAGGCTATCTGAGATAGTTCTGTTGGATTGACATCCAAGGTGCAGCACATGTAAAGGTGGAGTGTCCGACCTTCAGGCTGCATCCAGAGGGATGAAAAGTCAAATGCTTTTTTTGTGTTGGGATGTGGTAACATACAAATAGGAATTATAGACCTATTTCATAATCAGTAAAACAGAATATTGAGGCATTTCAACTTAAATGTTACAGAAGTATTCTTATAATAATTTGGATCATGGAAAAGAAATACTGACATTTTAAAAACCTGATGACTAAACTGCTCATGAGCAGCAACGTAAACTCAATGGTGATTATAAAAAAATACTGTAGTCTATGAAGCATGTCATAGTTATTTGGGAAGGGTTAGATTTGGAAAGTGTACCTTTTATTTCCTCCATATCCTGTGGAAAGATGTAGCTACAAATGTTCATGAGGGTCTCTGCTTCAGTGGGAGATAAATGTTAACAGAAAAAAAAAAGATGATACAATGTAGAGGCTGTTTTTTAAAACACTTGTGCTCAAAAGCCTTGATTCCTTGTTCCTGATCTGCAGTGTGTTAGTGTTGTCATCATCAGCATCATCATGTATCAGGCCCTTGCTGAGCATCACTGTCAAGATGATTAGCCTGAAAGAAACTTTTTTTCTTTCTTGGCAGCTCCTTCACCTCATGCACTTTCCTACCCAAGGTGTCACTTATATCGTGTGTCCATCATCTTTCCTGGTACCTTGTTGTCTGCTATTTGTTCTAGTCTGCTTTGGCACTTTGTGTGGCCAGAATTTTTCAGTTTCTGAGACAAGTTGCTGTTTACTAGCCAATCTTCTTGTGGATTTTACTAATTTTCTCATGAGATTTTTGGGTTATAATTCTTCATTTGTTGCAAGATCAGAATTATGAGTCAGTCATAGGTTGCACAGAGGTTGATCACTGTTTGATAAAGAAAAAGAAATATAAATTGTTGACATGTGATTTCTTCATTATTTAAGTAAACTTTTGTTTCACAACTTATTTAAGGATTATTGTAAAGGTTAGTGAAATATTATATGGTTGTGTGGTAGATTGATATGTTTTATGAGTAATAATCAGTGTTCAAGATTTTCTTAACCATACTCATCTCATAGAATATAAAACTAGCTTGATCTGATCTTTCCTTTCATTTCTGATGTCTTGAAAAAACCCATTCAAAATAGTTTTGTAGGTTTAAAAAATGAATGGTTTTCTTATTCTTGCACAAACTCAAATTCTTTTATTTTATAGAGTGATATTGATCAATTAAATAACATTATAATGTTGTAAAAATAAAAATTAAAAAAAAAATGAACAACTGAATATACAGTGCTACGATTAGAAAGTTCTGTTAGATTAATATTTCACAGCTTGTGTAGTCTGAAATAAGTTGATAAATGTGTTAATTTGCTGATGTATTCTATTATTTAAGGAACCATGCGATTGGAATTTCATCCTGCTTTGAAAATTTTGGCAGTATAGCAGCACCATTTATTGTGTTTTCTGTAAGTATTTTAAACAGCATATGTTGGTATAGACATGAACTGGAGCTGTCAGACATGCACATAACAATTTTTTTTTCTCCAATTTATTTTGAAACAAGTATTTAAATCAAGAGGATCAACTTTATTTGTATCAGGTTTTATTCCATATTATGCTCTGTCCCTCTGTCCTCCTCTCCCTCTCCCCTTCACTCTCCTGTCTATCCTTTTCTCTTTCTTCTTCTTCTTCTTATTCGCTTGCATCAGCTGTACACTCTGGCGGAAAGTTCTGGTTGATCATCCACTACTGAACTGCAGTCCTGCTCCAGAACCTGAATGTTGTGTGTGCATCAGTTTTACAGATCTCATTATCTTGAATACAGACTGTTGGTTCCTTGCCTCTCTGGCAGACCTTTTCTCTTTGTTTCTGTCTCCCTCTCTCCTCTTATTTTTTCTCTTCCTCTTTTCTCCTTTTCTCTCTCTTCTTTTCTCTCTCTCCTTTCCTCTCACTCTTCCATCTCTCTCTTTCTCTCCGTGTGTGTGTGTGTCTGCTGAGCAGCTATTTGCCCACTGATACTCCATTGTTCTAGGGATCTCCAAAACTATTACACTGATGGGAAAACCGGGAAGACCCCCATGAAGTATCAATAGAAAAGTGCTACAAGTGTATTGAATGTAGTAATAATATACAACTATTAAGAAGGTGAGCATTATTAATTATATTATTTCCCTATGTGGGGTTGAGGCCACATCTTGGGAGAAAGAAGCAGACCCACTTCAACCTAAACATGTCATAAGAGGTGAATAATTAGGGATTAACTGACATTGAATGTTTTGAGATGATATCAGTATATTTAACAGTGGACACGCAGGAAGAAGAAGAGTTGTATTGTATTATTTCAACAAAGAAGGGTATGGGAATATCCTGCATGCAAAGATGTCAGTTGTCGATTCATTCGTTCAGAGACCACTGACATTACACAAGATTTCCTGGCACACTTTACTGTATCTCAGCAAGTGAATCGTACAGTTTATCTCCATAGAATCTCAGTGTTTCCATATTTAAATGTACAGCATAACCAGATTGTGACCGTCACCATCAGTATTGGAACTCTGCGCTGGCTGCTGAAGATTAGAATGGAGCATGCATGGCAATGCCCCAAGTGCTGTGATGTCAATTCTTGGCTCAATTAAATCAACTCAAATGTACAACATGAAAACATATTCTTTTTAAATTGTTTAAGAACAGTTAATCTATAACTAGCGAATGTCTGAGTTTGTTGATATGACATTTGATACAGTGCTGAAGTAATTATCATCAGACTGCAGGGTTGCATATATATGCCACTGTGAAACAAGTTATTTCGTTGATGTTGTATTTTGTCCTGTTACCATTCATCTTGCTACATAATTGTTTGTGATATTATAAAATGACTGTAAACCTTTCCAACATTTGTCAAATATAAATATATGCATACAGCACTGTTTTTGTTATTTGCATTCTTTACTATCATTTTTATGTGTTTTATCTAATTAAAATTAAAAAATTTTTTTTTTGCAGCAGGATTATAATTTGTTAAACTTAGTTTTTGCAACACAACACAACACAACTGAAAGTGTCAATATGTGCTACATAATTAACTAACAATGGTTTATTGCATATTTTTTCAGGCTAAATCTGTTCCTGAACTACCAATGATATTATTTGGTGTGGTATCAATCATTGGGGGAGCTTTGGTGATTATCATGCCGGAGACACAGAGTCGGCCACTGCCACAGAATGTTGAGGACGTGGAATCATGGGACTTCCCTAGACATTAGCAAGCTGACACTTCAGTCTACTGGCCTTCATTTTGGTTAGGTTTAAATTGCAGTGTGAAAAACTTTTTGTTGATACAAATAATAATGATAGAAATAATATTTTATAGCGAATATATTTGACAGTGGGAACTGCTAAATTGTAATGGCTAGTTGCTTGCCAATCCTGAGATTTTTGGGTCAAATCCCCACTGTAATAGATTTTTATCAAATGATTTTGGTTTCTAGGTTGACCTTGCATAAAATTAATACCTGGAAATGTTCTGGGAAGCAAACAATGCATCTAGCACCATATGCTAGTTGCAACAATGATGTGGAAAGGAGTCTTTATTGTACTTACTTTACATTTTCTAAGTGAAATTTGCGCCATCTTGTCAAAGTTTACATGCACAGTATTCAACTCATTGTTTTTATTTATATATTTTTATGAGCCTTGCAGTCTGTGCAAGTTGATAGTGATAACTGGATATTTGTGTAGCAAGTTTACTGAAACTCATACACTATTGTTCTGACTTTTAATTACTTCTTTAGATTAGACCAATTTACATCTTGTTTGTTAAACTATTGTTTTGGATTAACAAATTTCTTATATGTATCAGCAATATTGTTGCTTCATCCTTTGTATCATCTTGTGTGATTAACTTATTTTAGATGAACTATTTTATTTTTGTATCAGCAATCTTGTTTGCTTAATTATAGTTTTGATATATGATAGTGTTGTATCTGTGCCAGCAAGAAACAGTTTTGTACATATATCAAACATTGTGATTGTTTCATTATTGTTATAAGTTAGACAGTATTATATCTTTAAATATGCAAACACAAACAATATTTTGCAGATTTTTTGGGCTGGCATATTTAACTGATTTTCACCACGAGCTTAACTCTCTGTTTACTTCAACATGTAGTGAATCACGCGAACATTAACCCTTTCCACTGAAATACACAAATCACATTGTTTCTTGTTATACTTTTTCTTGCAAAAATATTGAACCAAACAAAATGTTTATCTTCTTCTTTTTCTTCTTCTCATCCACCTTGTACCTTATCGAAGTGCCGGGGGGAGATGTAATGTTCGTTGATGAGCTCTGTCAAGAGCACTATTTAGTCTGATGTTCATTTCTGTAAGGCTGTTCTTAATGCCCCCAGTCCATATTTTCCGAGGTCTTCCACTCACTCTAAACCCGTTGTAATATGGCAGATAGTACCAGTGCTTTCTTGTTAGGTGTCCAAACCACTTCATTTGTTGTTTTTTGATGACCTGTAAGACTGGCTTTATTCCTAGCATTCGTCTGGTTTCGTGATTTCGTATTCGGTCTTTCCTTGAAACTCCTGCAGCTCTTCTAAGGCATTTTGTCTCTGTTGTTACAATATTACATTAATTGGAGGATGTAAGTGTCCACGTTTGGCACTGATAGCATAGTTTTGGCCAAAAAATATATCTGATAAGATTCACTTTAGTACTCCAGGGTATCTGCTTGTGTAGATAGTTGCCCCATTACTTGATTAGCTTTAGGACATCTTGAGCTATTTTTCTTTGTCCAGTTTTTCGTCCGATGTGAAAATTGCTTGCAGATACTTAAATTCCTCTGTCTTGAGGTTTTGTTTTTTAATTTTATTTCTAAATTTTCTCTCTATCTTCCTATCACCTTTGTCTCTGTCTTTGTAGTATTTATCTTCCTATTATATTCCCCCCCCCCCCCCCCCCCCCCCCGTTACAAATTTGATTTAGGTAGTTCTTTAGACATTCGGCACTTTTTCCTATGAGTACCTTGTCGTTGGCGAATAGGTTTTTCACAAACACAAAAGACAAATGAATGTTACTGCGATAGATTCTTCATGAGCACATGACATGAATATACCATACCACAAATAAGAGTAAGAATACACAAAACCACCAAAACTGATGTATCACAGAAAAAATGTTGAATAAGTGTCACAGAAAAATGTTGAATAAAGAATCGACATCACAGCACTCGGAACACTTTCCATAAGTGCTCAGCAAGCAAAGAGTTCCAATTCTGATGGCACCAGTAACCATCTGATTGTATATCCATCTCATCCTTTCCCTGAGTGTTGAGCGTCGACCAGATCCCCTGGTAACTCCTCGCAGCGCCATTTTCCTTAGACCGTAATGATCTATCTGTGCCTCGGCACACTACACTCGCTCCCAAAGGGCTCTCATAATATCTAACTTATCACAGAAAGAAATCACATATCTGCTGGGCAGTTGAATCTCTAATATGTCTATGTCCACCAGAAAGAAATGCTAGCCAGAGCAGGCTGTGAATGGCAAGGGATGTTATAACAAAATATTGGATTAAGCTTTCGGATTATAAGTCCTATACAATCCTGATAAGGAGGTTCTCGAGAATTCTACAGACTCTGTCACTAGAGTGGCTCTTATTACTCTGTAAACTCTACTATTAAACTGCAAAATATTGCTTGTGTCTTCGTTATTTAAATTCATGACAGGAAAAGTATTAGATTTGTTACAACCAGCTTGTTTAATTTCATTTAGTTGAATGATACATTTTACATCCAATGTTGTTTTATCATACATTTTTTTTAAACTCCAGGGGGGGGGGGGGGGGGGGGGGGGGGGAGAGATGAATTTTCACCTGTGGTAATGTTGAATGATGTCAGTATTCAAGGCTTTGATCAGGGGCAAAACAAAAGGATGCTTGCAAAGTACTACTGGGCTTTTGTCATAGTTTGACATTTGACTTTGATTGAAATGCAAGTACCAGACAAACGTAAAGTGTAATACTACGTATGACAGAACCATACATGCAGATATATGAGATGCAAGTGAAGGGTTGTCTGCATACATTTTTGTTTAAATTTGTATCCAAAAACTCAATTACAGCATTGTGGCGCGGTGATTTATGTCACAGGCGTGAGGGGAAGTTAAGTCCAACATGATGTGTATAAGGAGATACTCCGTACGTCACTCGGGCGCCAGTCCTTTACTATCCTGGTTGTACGGAACCTCACGCAAGACCCCTACAGCACGTCCTCGTCGTGCGCCACGGATAATGTCTCAAATGAGCATTAACAGAGCTGTCAGGGGATCTCGGAGTTTGGCGGCCCCCAGAGGTGATCACCAGCCCGCCCCCAAACGCTTGGGTGAAAAATGTTATCAAAACTCATTAGGAACATGAGTAGGTTCGACAAAAGTACAGCTAAAATCACAACCCTTGGTTAAAAGACTGCTGAGTAAAGAGAACATTGCTCAATGCTCATCCTCGGTTAATTCTCAGTGTCGTCGTCACCGCGCTGAGATGCAACACAACAGAAACCATACATGGGCTGGCCATCCTTGTGCATCCTCAGTTGGCCCTCAGTGTCGTCGTCACCGAGCTGAGGTGCACCACAACAGCAACCATCCATAGGCTGGCCAGTCACGTACATCCTCGGTTAACCCTCAGTGTCGTCGTCACCGCGCTGGGGTACACCACAACAGCAACCATCCATCGGATGGCTAAGCCTAAATGTCCGACAAAACTAGATCATACGGATCAAAATCTGACCATCAAAATTTGCACTGAAATGCAAAAGGCCGAATGTCCATACCCAAAGACCCCACTCGCCCGAGTGTTTGGGACAAAACTGATAACGATATGCCTGATTCAGGATGTGAAATTCTGCCGGGCTAATGTACCTATCTGTGTGGTCACAAAAGTCCAAAAACCAACGGGCTGCTCCCCGCTGACTTCCAGAGGGCGCAGCCCCTGTCGAGCGGGAGGCCTGATACGGTTGTGAGGTTAAGCAGGCATGTGCAGGACGTGACGATTCCTTGGGTGAGCCCAGAACCAGAGCGCCATGTGCCGGCTCTGCATGCATGGAAGCCTCCTTGGATGGCGGGGAATGCCCATGATCTGCCCCTGCCTTCCCTTGAGGGCCAACTGTTCCACAGGGGGTTGCCCCAAAGGGGTACTCCGGGGGCAATACCTGCGGCGAAGGAGACAAGGCGGACACCACACAAATCAGGCAGTCTCGACCCACACAAAACAATGGCCACAGTCACCCTAGAAATAGGCCTGACGTCTTCCTTCGAAGTCGGCGTACAGCTGCCCAAGAGGCAGGGAAATTAAAAACGGTTGTACACGCAAAAATCAGGTCCAGGTGAAGGCCAAAAGTCCAAGCGGACGATTAACCGGGACCTTCCACTGGAATTCACAGCCGGTGTTCGATGGAAAAATTACAGCATTTAATGGGCTGACTTTCTGAAGAAGACTATCAAGAACCATTTGATGTTTCAGTCAGTAGAATCATTAGAAGATGGCAGTATATTTGGCACTTCATGTGGAGAAGCCATACAGAATCACTGAACAAGCACAGCAATGGGAGATAAATGGATTGAGGAAATGGGAATGTCTAAGTGAATCCCTTCATGAGAGAAGCCAAAGATGTTGGACTGAATTCCATCAGTGAAATCAGAAAGATTACAGAGAATATAATGAAATGGAGGAATAGGCTGCAGGTCCTGTGTGACAAATAACATTATGACAGAAAGTGGATTGGCACCTGAGACAACAGATCATGTCCTCCAAGATTGTCCTAAATACAACATATCAAGGCAAAGTTTGTGGTTAAGAGAAACACCGGTGCAAGTCAGACTTTACTGGTCGCTGAGTGAATTACAAAAGACAGTCAAATTCAAACTGGAGACAACATTGCAGAAATAGATAATTTTTTTAAAGCGAACGAAAGAAAAAGAAAAAAAGAAGATTATGACAGAATGATGATGGAGATAAAAATCTTTAGATTCATCTATCTCCACATCATAAATCTACTCCATTCATACAACTTGATCATACTGCTGTGCCAGTGCCCATGCAACAAGACACTTCTGAAACACCAGTAGTACAGGAGTCAACTACTAACTCCTTTACAATGAATCACTTTCTGTCTCAGTGATTTTCAGGTCACCATCACCATTACAGATTAAAAGTCACTGTGACAGCTGTGTAACCAAGCTTTCTGCCTATCCTGAAAGG